AAGGTCGTGTTACCCAACATACTTATTTTTAAAAAAATTGGGTCCGAAAGTGGTCGTCATGTGTTTACGCGTTTACTCTTTGTTGTTACCATTTATAATCATAGTGTACTCATGATGTACTCACTGTGTACTACTCATTGTGTATTCACCGTGTTATATAAATTATGGGCGCCAGGTACCACCACAGTGTGCCTTCAGAGAAGTACAAGGTACTAACATCGGCAAAGGGTTTTAATAAGAAGTCATATTACCTCGCATAATACCCCACAGCATACAAAACACAGATCAGCTAAACTAATAAACAATTAATAAACAAGTACCGAATTAATTTAAACTAAGCTCAAAAGCTGACTAATTCTCGACAAAACTCACTAAAGAGTCTCAACTTACTAAAGCACTTTAGAAAGCTCACACACTGAGAAAAATATTTCTGTCCAGGCACTAATCGTACGTCTAATGCTCCCGACTTTTGTCCCAGCTCAAAATGAGATAGTGACCTGCCATTGAGTTTTAGTGCTGTGCTCTAAATTTTCTTTGCTTGGGATGCTACGTTTAGCTCCCAGCGCTAGACGTATAGTGCAACGAAAAAACGTCGATCTGAGGACTAAACGTATAGTGCTGGGACAGATTTTTTTTTCTCAGTGCAGAATCTCTCTCCACGCACCAGACAAGAACTCATACATATGTCACAATGAATCAAACAAATCAAAACACGAAATCAAACTATTCCAAAATCAGATCAAAGAACACGGCTAAACTGGTAACACTTCAAGACCTTGTTAGGTTACTCCGGCGGCATATTTAACACACCTCTAGGCCGACGGTTTGTCCAAAGACAGAAGTTCGACGTCGCCGTTGGGTCTGGCCTCGGCACTCACCGGCGCGCTCGTGTAGTACACCGTGGAGCAGCAGCAGTTGACGGGGGCCCGCGCGCGCGTCCACGCACACAGGGCCGCGCCCACGCACACGAGCGCGCACGCGAGCACGAGCAGGAGCGCGCAGCCCCAGCCCTCGCACACCAGCGCCGACCTGGGGGGCTCCCTGGGGGTGGCGGCCGCGGCGGTGCTGGTGCTGGGAGTGTTGGCGGTGCTGGGAGCGCTGGTGGTGCTGGGAGCGCTGGTGGTGCTGGGAGCGCTGGTGGTGCTGGGAGCGCTGGCGGTGCTGGGGGCGCTGGTGGAGCTGGTGGTGCTGGGAGCGCTGGCGGTGCTAGTGGTGCTGGGGGCGATGGTGGAGCTGGGAGCACTGGTGGTGCTGGTGCTGGGAGCGCAGCTGGTGGTGCTGGTGGAGCTGGGAGCGCTGGGAGCGCTGGTGGTGCTGGCGGTGCTGGTGGTGCCTGTGGTCGTGCTGGCCGCGCTGGACTGGTTGCCGGCCCGCTGGACACACTCGCAGTCACACTTCTTTTGGTCCAGCAAGCACGCGTCCTTGCACTCCCCAACCGCCCATCCGCAGTTCCCCCAACACTCCGAGTATTTGCGCACGCACCGCCTCTCATTGTAGCACTTCCCCCACAGGCGGTAGTCCATGCCGCCAGGTGGGTACCCGCCGCACGCGCACTCGCAGTTGTAGATGCACATGAGCTTGCAGCCCAAGTCCTCGCCGCACTCTGAGCAGGTCGCCTTGCCGCACTGCAACACGGGGCGGTCAGTCAGCGGGAGCAGGGTGTCGGGCTGCCGCTCGGCGCACACTCACCTGGCGCTCCTCTTCACATTCCTCCCACTTCCGCCTCTCCTCGGTGGCCGAGCGCCGCCGCCGGAGCAGGTCGCGCCCGCCGGGCAGCTGGGCGGCGCTGTCCAGGCGGCCCGGGGCGGCCGTCTCCCCGGCGGAGCACGGCCCGGGGTGGGCCAGGAGGACACCTGCGGAAGAACACGTATCAGTCCTTAGTACGACGTGCGCCTCGGCCAGCGCAATCGCAAAGTATTGCTGTAAGGTTTGTAAAAATGCGATAACGCTCGGCCACTAATATATATTGATAGGGAAAAAGAGCAAATTGTTCATGTGTATAAATTTGATCAGTTTCAAATCGTAAAACGTATCCGAAATCCCTTTCTGACTATTTCTAGACTGACGTCTTCGTGGAGGATTTTCGTTTGTGTCTGAGATGTTCGGCGCCAACCATAACAAATTTACAAATGCGTTCATCCAGAATTTGTTTTTTCCTATTGCAAGTACATTTTGACCGGAGATCAATTTTACTCCTGTCGGGTAAAATGATCTTACTTACATTTCGATTAAATAAATGTTCTTACTCCAATAGGAACAATCGTCTTGATGTGCACATTGCAGTGCGGTTCGAACACAATGCTGCCATACAGCCGCCCTGAACGCGTTTCAATCTTGGGCCACTATAAGTACAAAAAGTACTCGAAACAAGAAAAATCGTTTTTCTGGATGATTGTTTATGTGTATCAGACCCGCAAAATACCGTGTATGTTTCCGTTTGTACTCTCGGTGGTGAGTGTACTGACCCGGGGCGGTGCAGCGCAGGTCGCACTGGCTGCGGTAGGTGCGCTGGTCCGAGCCACACACCTCGGCGGCCGGGTCCTGGGTCGGGCACGGGCAGGAGGCGGCGAACGGCAGCAGCGCCGTGAACATCGTGGCGGCCAGCATCAGCATCCTGGGGCTGTACTCGTCGGCGTGGACCTCGGCCGGGGGGTGCTGCTGGCGGTGCGGCTGGCTGTCCGCGACTGGCTCAGCCTCCTTGCACCCGCCGCTCGCTCTCCAGGCCGGCCTGATAAGGACCTCCCGAGTCAAGGCCGAGGTCCGCGTGATAGCCGGGCGTAGCCGGGAGACCGACCGAAAACGAGTTCAAAAGTATCGTGGTTTGGTGTTACTCTGGTGGGGCACAACTTACACGGTCAGAAGTGCATGGCCGGGTGTGGGCGGTGCTGCACGTTGACAAGCGCTCGACGGCTGCCGGGCGGACCCTAGGCGGACCCTAGGCGGACCCGGCCCGCCAATCGCAGGACGTGCACATCGGGCCAGTCCGAATGGCACACATTAAAATATTGTGAACATTTTTATTTCATTTGCATGCTGAGTTCTGTAGACATGCTCAGCTTACGCATTTTTTAATACGCCTGTATGAAGACATTTTTTCATACCGCTGCGTATTCGTATTATTGAAAACTGCGTAAGCGGAGGATGTGTAAAAAACTTAGTAAGCTATCAATAAAAATGTTTACCAGTAGGGCTGAAGCGTGGAGTGACGGGAGTGCAGTGCAGCGGAAAGAATTGGCAATGTTCTCAACGGGGTTCCTGTGTTCATTAGTTCACTGCGTTGAGTGAGCCACAGTGAAAAAACGACCGTCCCTTACGACGATTTATACGAGAAGCGCGAACAAAAATGAAGATTTTGAAAAGACGCGCTAACGGAGTTGTTTTTTCTCTCTTTTGTTTCAGAACTTGAAGAACCAGATCATGACGACCAATCTGTGGGTGGAGCAGGTAAGCAGAAAAGCAGAAGGAAAATGAACGTTCGAAGAGGACGAGGAGGAGGAGGACGGGGGGG